CAAGTCGGTATTAAATGCTCGAGATAATATGATATCGTATCGTAAAGACAATGTAATATTAAAATATTGAATTGTCTTACCTGTGTGATGTTTTCTGCAAAACGTCGATATGCAATAATGTAAATATATGAAGCATACAGGCAAACAGATCGTTGCGTATCTGCCATATTTTTCAAACCTGTATGACTCTGACTTTATTCAAGTGAAAGAAAGTGTGATAAAAGATAAATTGGTTATCAATCTTCAGAAGAAGATTTTTCTCAAATCTTGCTCATCTTTGCAAGGAGAAAATTCAGTCTGTCATTTACACATATTCAAGTTTAATTTGTGGTTGTATCTCATCATCACGATCATATTTAATACTTACCTTGATATTGCATTGATAGAAAGTACTGACCCTTTATTTCTCGTCTTTATTGAATTAATTATTATCAACCTGAACCATGCACTTTGATTTATAGCTCTCGATTGTTGGTTAATTAATCGTATTAAAAAACGAAAAATTAACAACATTATTAATGAACATGCTGAATAGCAGAGTACACTTTGCTCGGGTGAACAGGAACCTTCAATCAACCATGATTTTACAATTTGGCAGGGTTGCCGTTAAGCCATGCCAAACCCAAGGGGTGGATATAGTTCATGTCATCTTTTTTTCCTGACAAAAAAGTTCCTTAAACTTGGCAAAGGTGCGACAATAGAACACGTGATGGCCTATCAATCATCACATGATGCATGGTAATCATAATTTCCTCTCGACAATTTTTGCTCGCTACTAGACGTTCGTTAATTTTTATCCACTGATCGTGCACAATATCTATATTACTTAAACTTCTTATCTTTGTTATCGAGATAAGAAGACAAGAGGGATATGGGAATAATATTGTCCTTCGATCATGCTCATAACGATGCTGACTTTCAATTATCTGTCTAAATTGGTAGTGTAGATGTTTACCGCTTAAGAAAATATATGGCATTGACATGTCAGCGTCATGTATATAACGCCTGGCTGGAATGCTCCCCAGGGAGTGGAGATTGTGCACACAGTGTGTGCGGGCAAGCACCGAATCCAATGACCGGGGTAATAGTATATCTGTAAAGCGCTTTATAGAGACACCCGAGATGTATTGAGCGCTATATAAAAGCTGAATATTATTATTAAAGCCCCACTGTCCTACTTGTAGCTACTTGCTCCCTCTATATAGAAAACTTCCCCAATTGGTGCCTGTTGGTCCCCCCATGATCCTCTTTTTCTTATGTTAGTTGAGAGCTGAGTTAATGAGATAGCCACCTGTCAGTGACCTCATTGTGTGGTCTAATCCCTTCTGGCCCAGTAGTATTGACGGTCTTTAATATTATTATCATATCAATGTCGATACCTGATCCATTGAAACATAAATTCTTCTAAATATCATGCAATAGTAAAGCCAATTGACTCATGATTTCAACAGCAAAAATTAAAACAAAATCTTTTTGAAGGTGGTCTTCTGATGCAATTATCAACCCCTATACCCCCTTTGGAACATTATGAAATTATTTCTGAATTAGCTAGACCTTTTGTTTGTCTATCTCGTTCCTTATTCTCATGCAAGTGGTCCCATTTTTTCTTTCTTTCTACCATATCTTTCCTGCTCTCTCTTTTCGTCTCCTTTTCGATCTCCTTCTCTCCCCCCCCCCCCCCTCTCTCTCTCTCTCTATCTATCTCTCTTACCCCGTTTACGAAGTCAAATCAAATCGTTATACCATGGGCCTAATAACTCTTATTAGGTTGTTCGACAATATGCTTCTTTTTTAATGACACCAGTCTCTGTTATCAGTCTTTACTACTACGTCCTTGAAAACATGATGATTTGGCAAGTGAATTCCTGGAAAGAAAGGTATTCTATGTAAAAGGAAATTTAAATATGAACTCATATCAATATGTAAAAGTGCTATAATATACTATAATTGCGATAAATTTTGATAACTTGATAAACATTGAGTTTCATTTCATTTCATTTCATATCTTTATTGTGTCCATAAAGGATAATTGTTTATATGCACATGAACAATCTTACTTCAACATATGAACATAGAAACAACATATAATTGACATTCATAGGGCCCTGTTTTAGTATACATTTGATATAATATACATGGTCATGATGAATATACATTTAAATACTCTTTCTTCTTCTTCTTCTTCTTCTTCTTCTTCTTCTTCTTCTTCTTCATTCTTTCTTCTTACATACCCTCCATTTGTTTTAAATTCGTATATGCTCTAATCTGAAGTAGGTATTTTGTGTTAAAAATTATTTCTTGATATGGTATAACAGTAGGGGTACAACAGTAAAGTAAGTATACTAAAACAATATATATATTCGTGTAACATGTCAATGAGGGTATTTTGCATGGTTTTCACACTCTCTATTCTTTACTGGGTTTCATTAACTACTCTTATGGAAAGTGGAATGAATGAATTAATGCGGCGACTAGTTCTTGCTTTAACAGATCTCAAACTTAAGATCAGACATAATGGATAGGGCCTTAGATACTACTCTCTCCTTACAGACTTCATCTAGGTCAACAGTATGGTTCATTATTTTGCTGGCTTGTTTTACAACCCTTCTCAGCTTTTGTTTGTCACTTTGCCTTGCATTGTTAAACCAGATAGTACTCTGAATTATCGACTGGTAAAAGAGAAACAGAATTCTATCGTTCACATGAAAGAACTTTAACTTTCTAAGAAAATATAAGCGCTGGTTGCATTTTGTTAGTGTGCGCTTTGACTTCTCTTCCCAAGACAGCTTATTGTCGATTTCTGTACCTAGGTATCTATAACTGTCAACATTCTCAATGGTATCATCATTAAAGTATACAGGTCTATCGATGGGTTCAAAAGCTTTCTTTTGCCAAGTCAAAAACAATTTCTTTTGTTTTCTTTGAGTTCAGCAGTAAATAGTTTTCCCTACACCAATTTTCGAACATGGAAATAGTAGCTCTGTAATCAAGTTCATTTTCAGTTTCGATCAATCCTACTATTACTGTATCATCTGCATATTTAAGTATGTTAACAGATGGAGAATTAGATATACAGTCATTGGTGTACAGGGTAAATAGGGTCACAGAGAGGACACACCCTTGTGGGGTACCAATTGTTGTGATAAGTTCGTCAGAGAGAACACCGTTGACCTTGAGTTGTGCACTCTGATACAATTTTATATGTTGGTGTTCATGTAAAACACATTACTATTTATGCATGAGATAACGCAGTCCTTGTTTTTAAAATGAAAAAAAAAAGTTTAAATTTGCATCCCTAAATCGGTGCAATAGGAGCATCTAGCCCCGGGCATGTCAGTATTAAGCGATAACATCCTGTAACCTTTTAGAAGCACATTCTCACTTGTTTAGGTTCATAATTACACTATTCCAGGCTGAAAATATGAATCTTTGTGTTACTTTTTAAATTTCATATAGAGTTGCAGCCATGTTGCTGTTTGTGGTGCAATTGTGAATTTGTATTTCTTTTTGTGTTCAAGGTAACTAAACATAAATGAACGATATGAACAGAAAATTATAGAGTACTTCAGCCAGGGGCGTACGCAGGATTTTTCCCCGAAAATTTAAAAATCGCGCCGGCCGAAAATAGTCCAAAAAAAAAAATTCGCAACGACTCAGCCAACCGAAAAGTCGCTCAGTGGGGGGGGGGGGGGGGGGGGGGGGGGGGGGGGGGGGGGGGTAAGCGGACACTTTTTTTTTTTTTGGTCTTGAAATTTGAAAATTTGAAATTTTTTTTCTTTGGTGGGGGGGGGGGGGTAAGGTCACTTTACGTTAGCCGTGGGCATAATTTTTTTTTTTAAATTAAAAAAAACAAAAAAACAAAAACAAAGGGGGGGGGTTTTAGTTTTTTTTGGGGGGTTTACACACATAATAATACCCCCAAACCCCCCCCCCCTGCATACGCCCCTGACTTCAGCAATTGAATCGCCTTTCTTCTTGTGGCTTTGTTCAATTCTCTTTCCAGACGTAATATAAAAGAACATTTTTATTCTCGATAGCAGAGCTTAAAGTGACTCGGTAACATCGTTGAAGGTTGATGAAAAAACAATTTTTTTATGAAATGCTACTTATCATATTCCTTCTATACCGTACTAACCCTCTAACATGCAAAAATAAAACTCTCAAACCACAAAGATATTTATGGTTTTCACTGAAGATTTCACTGTGCAACAGCTAGCCTCTATAACACTAGATTCTCCCAATCAATTTTTAAATTTTCCCAACCATTTTCCCATGAAAATAAGACATAAAATAGGCTTTTAACAATCTTTCAACACTTAAATGTTTGGAATGGTATATAGAGCCAATTTATTGCTTTGTGACAATTTACATTCCCCTAAAATTTAACAAAAATTATAATAATAGAGTAGGAAGAATTCTGGAATCGATCAGATCAGTTTTTCCCAATTTTTATCATTAATAATGGTCTGTTTTCACTCAAACTTTCGGATTATCTATAATAGAGTACATCAAGCATTGAAGTCATTACCTTAGCACCATTTACTCTCATCTGAACAATGTTACCAAGTGCCTTTAACATTTTATATCTCGATTATAGCAGTTTAAATTAAGGAAAGATTAAGTTGGGTTAAAACCTTGGGAAAATTACAAACTTAGTCCGATTCAAGCTTGATCTCCCTATAAACCACAGAAACTCTTAGAATGTTTTTCTTTAACCTTCCAACGATCAATCAGGGTTATGTTTGGCAGTTCTAGTCACGTGTCATGGATATTGATCTCATAGATTTATTGTGTCTTTTGTAAACAGTTTTGGCGAAGTTGTTGTCACCTGTCTTAAAGTATTTCCGGCTCTTTGCTTGAAGTCTGGTTGACGAATGGATTAAAAACTGAATATGACAGCAAGGTTAAAATGATACATGTGTCCTTATTATCATGATTGTGTAAAAACATTGGATATTTTACTATATAAGCACCAGAGTTTTGACAGATATCAAACAGGTTGTATTCGCATCGATTAGAGATACTCTTAGATAAGTTATCTAAGCGTCCAGTCATTTCGTCGTAGCTTTGGAACGATATCACTTTAATCAAAGTAAGTCACAATTTTTTTCTTCATTTCCATCACTTGAATCTAGACGTTTTTGCTGTTGTCGACTTATTCAAGTTTGTTAGTTGAGAGTAAGAGACGTTGCTTAAAGAGAATGAATTTGATTTTCCCTATGTTATTGACATTTGCTTGTATATTACTCACAATTTAAGTTTCAGCTTTCTCAGGAATATTTAAATAAATAGTTTAAATCACTTTAAGATGATATTTATTGAATCAATAGATCGAACTTTAAGATTTATTTTCCAATTTATTTCGTTAAAAGTGAAATAAACCAAGCGCCAGACAAGGTTTTACTGAATTAGAAGAATACAAACCAATGTATTCAAATAATCGCCTCACTTCCAGTTGCTATCCTCGCATCGTTGTCATCACTCGGAATGGAGCATGATTTCAGATGCCATGTATATCTATAAAGTCAATTTGGAGACTTGATGCATTAAATCAAAATTATAATTATATGGGAACGTTATAAAAATACTATTTTTATTGTCTTCATTCTTTTTCAATTCTTGTCCATAGATGAAGCCAATGATGTTTACTCTGTGTATATTGCTGTGTGCAATGCTGATTACTGTCGAAGGTAAGACCTAAATCCAAGACGATTAAAATCGTTTTTTGTCATCAGGGTCATTTCAAATTCCTGTATTATTTTATAGTGGAGTACAAGAGCGTAGCTCCCCCCCTCCCCCTCCCCCTCCCCCAGCCGTTTGCTGGCTCTGACTAAAACTCGAGAGAGATGAACATTTTGTATTAACAAGTGCCGTAGATTGGATGAAATGGATTATTATATTGCAACCATGTTGTGTGATACTTTTCGTTTTCCAATTCATCATGATTATGCTATTACACCAATTATGATTTCAATGCTATATAATATGCTTTTTACCGAGTATAATCAGGTGATATCTTTCCGAAGATATAAAATTAAATGATTCAAATTGAATTCAAATTTCAAATTTCAAATCGAAAGTCTCTAAATTTCTCATATAATATATTTCAAACTGAATATTACATATAGCCACTATCAAATTCAGTGCTATTGACATCATGATAAAAAGAGCGCAAAACTGTCTGTCATACCGAATATAAATATCAAACTCTAGAATCCTCTCAAAATGTATAAAACAGGTAGCTATCAAGTATTGTATTATTACCTTCGCTATGCCCATAGTACCTGTAGAATGAGAACTACCTTATACTAACGTATCGCATTTAATGCACCAAAATACTTTGATAAAGGAAGTTAGACATTTTATTCTATATCTAACTGCAGTCATTCCAATAGCATAACAAGAATTTATCCATTAAGTACGGAAGCGTTAAAGTGCCATTCTACTTGACGACATGACGAGATATTTCATCTTGTCAAGTCGACTTAATATCCATATCATGTCGACATGTAAAGATATTTAACTTACCATGTCGACTTATCAACTTTTATTAGTCGACATGGCGAAATAAATTATCTTGCCAAGTCGACTTCACAAAAAGTTCATGTTGTCATGGCGACATAAGTTATCTTACCAAGTCGACTTCTAAAAAAATACATGTCGTCATGGCGAAATAAATCATCTTGCCAAGTCGACTTCACAAAAAAGTTCATCTCGTAATAGCGACATAAATTATCTCACCAAGTCGACTTCCCAAAAATTATATTGTCGTCATGGCGAGATATGTAGTGTGACGACTATTTCATGCAGCGCGCGTATGACGGGCGGATCGTGCCATAAAGATGACAACTATACAACTATACATCCATCGAATGGATTCAAGGTTTGGGTTTTAACCAGTCAGAACGCAGGAAACTATACAACTATACGACTATGACGGGCGATCCAATATTATTTAGTGGCACGATCCGCCCGTCATACGCGCGCTGCATGAAATAGTCGTCACACTACATATCTCGCCATGACGACATATACTTTTTGGGAAGTCGACTTGGTGAGATAATAATATGTCGCTATTACGAGATGAACTTTTTTGTGAAGTCGACTTGGCAAGATAACTTATGTCGCCATGACAACATGAACTTTTGTGAAGTCGACTTGGCAAGATAATTTATTTCGCCATGTCGACTAATAAAAGTTGATAAGTCGACATGGTAAGTTGAATATTGTACATGTCGACATGATATGAATATTAAGTCAACTTGACAAGATGAAATATCTCGTCATGTCGTCAAGTAGAATGGCACTTTAACGCTTCCGTAATTAAGTATCAGGCAGTATAATATTTTAGATACTCCATGGTTAATTGTCGGTGATACAATTGCGAACGTTTTGCCTCACCATCACCCTCGGGTTCTTTTCCAAACCAATAATTTTCGTTGTACAAAATTATGTCATTGACAATGAGTTTGTACAGCTGGAACACGGATTTTGCAACCATAAAACTCCATCAGCTGTGACGGTAATCTAACGAACTTTCATTCGACAGGGAAATAAGAATTAATATTTAAAAAGATAGCCAGATATTTTGGAAACTTAATGGCAAAGTTTATTTACGATACCAACCTATGTAAAAAGCTCGGACATTGCAATGCTGCCGTCACCTGCCTCCCTTTCTTTCTTTAGAACAATTTTCCTGTATTTCTTTGGTTTCTTTGAATTTTGATTAATTCTAATCATGTAGATACAAATGCACATCGACCATTGATATACTTAAAATGCAAATGACATGCGTCTGTCGAAACTACTATTGCATTGTAAATGACATTTGAATAGTTTATTAAACACCAAACAGGCTTCATACACCAGTAACACTGAAAATTACACCTGTGCTTAAGGAAAAAGGGGTTAAGATTTGGAATGGACAGTCACTATGTGGGTTGTTAAAGAAAGATTTATATACAATTTCGTGATGACACATTTTAATTGTGTTGGAATTGATGAGAAGAGTATCTCAGTTCTTAAAACATCATCTGAGTAAAAAGCACAACAGACAATTTTATCCACATGAGTTTTTTCTTGTTTACGTGCATGTACTTAATACCAAAGAACAGCCGATAATATTTTTGCATGGTAATTTTCAGTATATTTCCTCCAGCAATTTAGAAATGCAAGTACAGTTCAGACGTTTCCATTATATACGTGAAATATTGAATAGTATCTCGAAGGAAAGACTGACATGAAAAGAAAAAATGACATCAAAAATGGATACTCAAATATTATAAAGTGAGGTGGTTGTCTTTTTTCTTCCAGGCCGCCGACACAAGCGGTCAAGCAGCGCATCAAGTAGTAGCGAAAGCGAATCAACTGAAACAGGTACGGATACAGGTACTGGAACTGGTACAGATACGGGAACTGAAACCGGCGGAGACGCTCCAGCTGTTACGATCCCCGTTGCGACCCCAGCAGGAACTACTGCACCAGCAGTAACAGTAACAACACCACCTTAGCGGAATCTTTCGTTACAAACAAATCTTCCTTTCTGCCGTTTTCCACGGGTGCAATTTTCTGATGAGTAGCTCGATTTGTTTATAGTAAAATGTGTTCACAGTGCTTTTACACACCTCATCAATGATGTCATAGGCTATGTCTCTGAAATACGGGTACGACCTATTTAAGGTATTTAGGGGGAAACCAGTGCAAGGTGTTCAGAATGACTTGTAAAAGAGAGTATGCAAACACTTATTGATCTGTTGTTCTCATGAAATTGTGAAAATGAATTTGAAGATCGATACCGACAGCCATTTTGGTCTTTGTGTGTTTCGTCATGTACACAGGGAAAGTAATAGAATACATTTTCTAAACTAACTAATATAATGCTAATTGTTTGAACAATGTCGCTCTTCGTTTTCATTTTCTCCTTGTTACTCGCTTCCATTGTCAATCTAGCCCTCCATCTCCTTAAATCTTATTTCACTTGCGAATATTGCAAGGTACCTGGACCACCGCTCTTCTCTGCCATATAGCTTTTAACAAATCGTTGAATAAGGAGGAGCTGTACAAGTGCACATATATTTTAAGTAAAGCAAAACCAATTCCATAAAATATCCTATTCTCTGTATACTGTAGCCCCTTTCTCACATAAAAGAATATTAAATTTAAATCTCAACATTTCCTTAATTTTATTTCCTGAAAAATTGTTCTTTTTCTGTAACCCGACTCAAGACCCTCAGGAAACAATCTACATTAGTATATTCATATATTTTATATATTCGGAAATAATAATGATTATGAAATATTAAGAAGTAAAAACTATAAGAATTAAGAAGTAGGAGGATTTGACGAATTTGTAAATACATCTTTTTTATATCATTTTATCCAAGATTTTTCATGAATAAATCATGTGACCATTTTAAAGAGTTGTTTGGGAAAAAAATAATATTATTATTTTTTCTTTAATGTTTTCGAAATAGAATGAGAAGTGGAAAAGACCGAATAGGAATATATAGAGGGAGAGAGAGAGGGAGAGAGAGAGAGAGAGAGAGAGAGCGAACATTGAAGAGATAGAGAGGATTTAGATGAAACGAGGGGAATAAGGAGATAGAGTGGGAAGGACAGAGAAGAGAAGGAGAGAGCAAGCGAGAATAATAACTGGATCAAAATTAAGATATAAAAGGTGTAAGATATAATATTGTGTGCCCTGCCATAACAGTATAATACCGTCTAGTGTCTACACTGTTGCCTATCAAGTTTGAATATCTTTTTTCTCAAACCTCTTTCCGTGAAATGATTGTGACAATATGGGTTATTCTTGATAGATAAAATTAATATCTTCTCGGAACTTTATTAATCTCTATCTATCAAGAAATTAACCATATTAAATAATTTCATGAAAAGAGGTAAACAAAAATGATTCCAACTGTATGGCAACCGTGTATCTTCATAATAGTTTAGAAATAATGTTGATATACTGCATGTCTTTTCTACACAATCAAACTCGATAGTATGTATAAGATGATAGTAAAACTAAACAGGTTGTCACCGAAACCCCCACCCGTCCCCCACAAACAGGAAATAATGTAAGCAGAACCTTTGCTGTTCTTTATTTGATTATAAACATATACTTTTCAAGATAATATATTTAATATTTCAAGAGAAAGACGTTTAAATGAGATAGAGAAAGAACGAAAGTTAGGGAGAATGAGAGAAAAAGAGAGCAAGATGATATGTGTAATGAACAGAAAATCGGTATTGAATAAAATATCATTTTGATTCAAAGATTTGTCCAACATAGCTGTAAGGACTATTAGACAATGAACGTGCACAAAATTATGATCTCCGTTATTCGAAGCGTACATTTTTAGAATTAGCATCATTAGCAAGATGATCATTGTTTTTTAAAGATAAATCTAGGAAAGACAAACTTCACTATGTAAAGGTGACTGAAGTCTGGAATCCGCCATGACTGTCTTTACAAGGGTTATTATATTTCTCTTGTCTTTACTATAATGGTATAATGGTTTTGGTAATGACATTTATATGCATCATACATTTTGCCCACAAAATTGGGAAAGGTAAAAAACTGATCTTTTAATTTGGAACATGTTTATGATAAAGGGAAAAAATTACCCCCATCAAACTCCTTCTCTCTGTCTTCTTCTCCTGCTCTTTAGATATCAATGAGTGCACCCGGGGTATGTCAAACTGTCACGCATTAGCTACGTGTATTAACCTACCTGGTTCTTACCGATGTAGATGCAATCCCGGTTACCATGGAAACGGAAGAAACTGCAGAGGTTCGTTAGCTTTTTTTTCTTGTTTTTCATCATTTAACAAAATTATGGCTTTCAAAAAATTATGTACAACAAATTTTTGTTTGAGTGTGATTGTATTTGTATGTCATTGTGCGTGTGTGTATGTGTGTGCGTTTGTGCATGATTGTGTATGTGAGGGATGGAGAGAGAGTGTGCGTGTGAGTATGTGTGTGCGTATGTGTGCGTGTGTATTGGAATTATGATTCTCCCGCAGTAATAAAACATGAACGTCTGATATTCCCTTTACAACCTAGAATATTCACTTTAACAATCATTGGCAAGTTTATCATTGTATTTTTAAATGTAGGAAGTTAGATCTTTAAAATATTGAATTTAAAGGTTAAAAGTAAATTATCTTACATCTGAAATGAAGCCCTGTAAGGGGTCTGTGATATCAGCTATATGACTATGATTATTATGTCTTGGCTATAATAAGTGATGTTGGTGGTGGATATGAATCAAACATTTGACAACTACATATGAATATATATTACGTTAATAATTGTGAGAAAATGAGAAAGATTGTTTCATCCCCATATATTTTTGTCATCATTGTCGTCTCCTTCTGGTATATATTTTTCATACGATATCAATGAGTGCACCCGGGGAATGTCAAACTGTCACTCATTGGCCACGTGTATCAACATCCCTGGTACTAATCAATGTAGATGCAATCCAGGTTACCAAGGAAACGGAAGAAACTGCAGAGGTTCGTTGTTTATCTTTTCGCCATTTTGTCGTCATTCAAGGAAATCGTGTTCTTTTAAACGTTTCTCCAAATAGTGAGAAAAACTTTAAGTTTTTTTAAATTTATTTTCGTTTGTTATTGTGTGGGTGTGTGTATCAGTGTTTTTTTCCGCTTCATGTTATCCCCGTTTCTCAGGAGTCCGATTTGAAAGATACGTATTTACTTATTCGCCTTCGATAAATTATGATATTTGAAGGCTCTAACAAACGCACACCCACGCAAGCACACACACATACATTCACACATATCGCACACCCGTCAATGTGACCAGTAAGCCACTCCCCCTTATTTCCAACATGCCCCATCCTCCACAAGCTATCCAGAATAGTATACAGATAAACAATAATTGAAAAATAGCTCTGACAAGAAAGCTCTCATCTCATAATCAAAGTATCATCTGGAAAGTCAATAGGTTTGTCAATACGACTTTTTATAAATTCCTAAAATGTATCGAGTGCAATGATTGAATTCTCATTTTAAGTATGTTGATTAAAGAAGTAATTTAATATTTACCTTTATCACGATTTACTCAAATGATCATTAACCTTTCATGATATCAAAATTGACCAAGGATTATCCTTGCCTTTTTTAAACTCTAATCCAGTTTAATCAAGCCCTACTTGTACTTGTACGCCAACTAAAGACTAATGAGACTCGCTTTAAATAACGTTAAAATGTCTTGTATTTTTCCATATTTTAGTAGTAATTCGAGCGACTTTGTTAGACAAAAAGCAAGGGGGTCAGATCACAGAGTATTATAATGGCTGCTCTCACCATCACCCTTTTCTTTTCCAAACCGATATTTTTCGTTGTACATAATCATAATTAGGCCATTGACAATGCGTTTGTACAGCTGGAACACGGATTTTGCAACTATAAGACTTCATCAGGTGTGAGGGTAATCCAACGAAATTTCTTTCGACAGGAAAATGAGAATTAATATTTGGAAAGACAGCCAGATATTTGGAAACTCCATGGCAATGTTTATCTACAATATCAACCTACAGGTGTATGTACAAAGCTCGGACACTGCAATAATGTTGTCATCTGTCTCCATGTTGGCCTGTGTGTGGCAAACCTGTCGACATCATCTCAACAACTATGAGTTCATCCGGTGTTTTCTTGGTCTATGAGCCATCACGCAGATACACTGCCAAGATGGAATCAAAAGTGCGCCGAACTGGCTCCGTTAACAAGGATGGACCCGCCAAAAGCCAGCATCTTTGGGGTATAGAAATGACGAAAAGAAAACAAAATGCTCTCCCGTTCGCCTCAAAGCAACGTCAACATTCATGCTGCTTACTCATCTGTTCGGCGAGCTAGATATCTTCAGCAATACGATTTTGAGATACGAGGAAACAATGGACCTACTCTCACTCTTGCCAGTTGTTGGAGCTGGACGACATAGCCAATAGCGTCATCATCATCAATAATATTCAGTCACTGGATGTTATGTAATGGATGCTCTTCCTATCCGCGTACGGGACCACATGACAGTCGAATCGTTGAAGTTATTCACAACAAATGTCGCCCTCAATGATGGACAAATAATGAGTTTACTAAAGATGACTTTGATTGAGCATTACATTTCTCTCTCTCTCTCTCTCACCCTGTCTCTCTCTGCTTCATCGATGAAGCCAAATCGTGGGTCAGCAATGCCAATAGGTTGGGTAGCATGATTGCCATTAATCCTACTGCGTGCTCTACTGATCCCTTATTGACAACAGCCACTTGGTAAATTATTCTAATTATTACGCCCTCGAGATTTAGATTAATAATGAAACAAAATTGTTCTAAGAGAAAAACAAATCCTGACAAACAACCCATATGGTTGTTTATGCATGTATGATAAGTAAGACATAAGCGATGCAGTCTTATTTAACCATATACAAACGTCAAGAAATTGGTAAAATAGTATCAAAGATCTATACAGACCTTAACTCATGAATTTAGGTAGTCAAACTCGAAAGCATTATTCTAACTAGAATGATTAAATAAACTAATTGAAATGCAAGTCTATGAATTTGCGCTGACCAATAATGATAAACTAATTAACCTATTTCAGTAATTAAATCTTGAAATTGTGAAATTTTACGTCACCTGCGTGGAGGGATTTCCGAATCATCCCTAAAGGTCTGTAATTTCATGAACGATCCAAAAATTGAACACGACAGCAAAGTCGAGATGATACAAATCAACTCCTAGTGGAGGATTATAGTTCTTTCTATATAAGCTACGAGTTTGAAAATATTCAAAGCAAGGTCATATCGTAGCGGTAGTGGTATATCTGAGATTATTCTAAGTTTCCTCTCATCCAGTAGTTTCGGAAGAACATCACTTCGTTCAAAGTAAGTTGCAATCATTCATTTCCGCCATAAATTATGTGTAGTTTGAAGTTATTACTTGTGTGGATGATAGAAAATATTGCAGTTAATTATCTTTCAGTGTCCCCGTGACCTCGTTAATTACGGTTAATGATATTTTCCGCACATCTTTGTGAGTTAGAAGTGCCTTCAAACAAAGCTAAAAAAAAGATCAATCGTTGGGAAGATGAATTCATGTTGATTGGTCGCGCATAACTCTTCGTTTAATCTATTCTTTTTTTAACTTGATGGTGGGTTCATCAATGGAAGAATGAGAGCAGTTATACATGTACTTCCTAATGACAAACTAAACGAAATTGTATTTTTAAATTAAGATGTGACACTCGACGGTAAATAGGTGAGATTCCCAGAGTAAACATGCTATTACTCTCATAAATTGCTATGAATTCTTGTTAAATCTTTCTCTTACAATTACTAAAGTACTACATCTCTTTATTAGAATGTAACATAAATATTTTGATTTTGATTTTACTTCGTAGATGAAGCCAATGATTTTTACTGTTTGTATCGTGCTGTGTGCAATGCTGCTTACAGTCGAAGGTAAGACCTGTAATATTTGTAAAGTTCTTTCTTCTTACCTCGTCTTGCTAAAGCATCAAATAATTTATCTTAGTCCAGTATGATGTCAGTATATAATTGTTGGGAATCTCTTAGCGCACTTTCATTCAAGATTATTTTAGTTTGGATATTATATATTTCATTTCAAAATGGACAATAATGATATACTATATAGCTCTCTGTACTAAACGGAGAATCTGATCTAAATTGAAAAATTACTCTTTGAAAATTTATGTTTTGTTTCAGATGGAAATCATTTTAACGGGTTTTACCTATTAGATTAGATAAGATAGAATATACCAAAGCATTTATGTTGAACATTAAACGTTTAATGAAATCGGTTGCATATTTGTAACATATTCGGAGATTTAACAGTATCTAATGTGCATAAAATGATACTTTAATGTCGTAGACATCTATCCACGATCGTATATATTCCTAATATACTTCACCTTCTATCAACGAAAATATATTCGAGTTACAACGTCACGAGCGATAGAAACAATGATAATCGTGCAATCCTTTGATAATATACAACTGAACGTTGTTGGATGATAAACTATGTAATGTGAAATACGTAGAAGTTATACTCCTAATAATAATTATGATCATATCACTTTCTTTCATTTATATTCTGCTGCTGATTCTCTTTTCAGGGATTTTCGATAAATTCCATCCTTAAAATGATCATCATTATACCATAACATTAGGCCTACTCTAAAAAGGAGGAGTTGAATTTTATGGAGAAATAAAGAATATAACGAAGTAGTATCAGCTAAACAAACTGAGAAGAGACAAATTTAAAATTACAGTTTACAGGCATTTTAGTTTTTGTGAACACGTCTGAACTTGATGTTTTCAACGCTGTCTTCTTCCACTCAAGGTCGTAGTCGCCACAAGCGATCTTCTAGTAGTTCGGCAGCACCAGCACCAGCACCAGCACCAGCGGCAGTAGCAGCGATAGCAGTGAAGAAACCGCGGCGGTTACTCCAGCGGTCCCAGCTCCGGCTCCTACCGCAGCCCCAGCCCCTCTTCTACTAGGTCGTAGTCGCCACGAGCGATCTTCTAGCAATTCGGGCAGCGGCAGCAGCGGCAGCAGCAGTGAAGAAACCGCGGCGGTTACTCCAGCGGTCCCAGCTCCGGCTCCTACAGCAGCGCCAGCCCCTGCTCCGACGAATCCTCCAGTAGTGCCAATGGTGACGACTCCTTAGCGGAAAGTCTTAGACCGCTTTCCGCAATCTCCACTGTTTTTCGCCTCTTCTCAATATATTGCGATCATCAGATGAGCAGATGTATTTTAAACACTATATAATATCATTATAATCACAGTATTTCTGATCCATGATTTATCGTGCTTATAGGACATCGTCTTTGAAATAGTCATCGTCATGGAGGAGCCAACTTTTACTTTGCCTCATTAAGTCATAATGATCACTCAATGTTAACGAATCTGCAAAGAATAATGCTGTGATTTACCGAAAATGTATGGATTATGGATTTAATTTTAATTACAAAAATCTTCGTCTCATGTTTAATTAGTACCTAATATTCCATATTATGTGATTCCAGAATATAAACAAAAGAGAATTACAATAAGAAACATTTAAACATATCTGTAAATATTTATAAATGCAACCTGTCACTTTATCATGTCAACATGTAAACATGAATAATCCAGCTTCTGCTGCTTTTCATGTAAAATGACAATTATGATGCATGTATTTTGAAATTACATAATAAACCATTATTGAATTGAATTGCATTGAAAAATTTGCTATATAATTAAATGACGTTTGTAGAAAGATGCTTCTTGAATAAATCATAGCGAAAACTGTGAGTATCGTGAACGTAAGGTAATTTCTTCCGTGCATTTAGGCGTTTGAAGAACGTTAGTGATATTGGTACACTGAGCGCTATCAAAATCGAAAATCGAAAAGTTATCACAGAGAAACGGAGATTGATAGACATAGAGCGAGAGACAGACAGACAGACAAACAGACACATAGCAAGAGAGAAAGCAGGAAAGATGGGTGTGTGTGTGTGTGTCTGAGAGAGAGAGAGAGAGAGAGATAGAGATAGAGAGAGAGAGAGAGAGAGAGAGAGAGGAGATAAAGAGAGAGATAAAACGGAAGGGTATATAGGCAGGCACGTAGCCACAGGGGGGGGGGGGGCACGGGGGGGGGGGGAGGGGCACGTGCCCCCCTAAATTTCAATGATCGGTTGAACCTTTTAGACCCCTTTTTTTGACCTCGATCGATTACATGTATGTGCCCCCCCCCAAAAAAAAAAAATAAATAAAAAAATAAATAAAAATAAAAATAAATAAATAAATAAACAAAAAACAAAAACATCAAACTCTGACTACGTGCGTGTATATAGGGTAGATTCGTTTGATACAATCTGTGATTAAGAATGTCGGCTTATTTTAGATAATATAATCAACGTAAAACGAAGGAATAATCATCATGTATTAATCATCAATAATATTAGGCACACTAATATTATTTTTTATTGTAATGTGAGAAGAATGTCTCTGGTTTCCTTTAAATGCCTCACAGAGAACATATTACGGGACATATATTACTATAAGAAAAAACGTTGTTTCTGTTTCCATCACAATCTGTATTTGACTGTTCTTTGTCTGCCTGTGTTCAGAAATCTACTTAGATCTTAGATGGTAGAGAGGGGAACTAGAGAAAGATAGCAAGAAAAATGTGGATGCGTGCGTATGATAGAGAGAGAGAGAGAGAGAGAGAGAGAGAGAGAGAGAGAGAGAGAGAGAGAGTAGATAAAATGTATAGTTCCATAGTCGGGGTTAGAGTAAACACATTACTAATCATGGTCAGTTTACAAGAGAGTGGGAAAGATTGAGAGATTTAAAAAAAAAAACTTTATGGAGGATCTTTGAAATGTTCTGTTCCAAATGCTGAGTTATTGGCAGTGAAACTACATCAGTGACCGTGACCTTGAATTTAGATGGAACATGTATTTCCTTTACCACCAACTTGACCTTGAGAAAAACTATTCAGGTGAAGCACTCTTATGAAAAGTGAAACACTAAACGATCTGACTTGTTGAAAATACTAGTTGAAAACTAATTTAAAATCGTATTGCGTGTGGTGGGCTTAAAATACGAAAGGCGAAAATAAGTGATCTTGATGTAAGCTTTTATATTCTCTCTTTTTTAAATTTTGTTTTGAAATAGATATTAATGAATGCACCAGTGGTACCTCCAATTGCCACTCATTGGCGACGTGTATCAACATCCCTGGTTCTTACCGATGTAGATGCAGCCCCGGTTACCAAGGAGACGGAAGAAACTGCAGAGGTTCGTGGTCTCTGTTTTACCCCCTTAGGATGCAGATTGTTCTCTTAAAGAAGATCTTCCACTTAACCTGCGTAATGATATCTATTCAGGATTCTTTTGTGTGTTTTTATTTTATTTTTTAGTTATATATGATATTTGTTATGATTGCTTTTCTTCTTCCTCTCTATATTTTAAGGTATCTTTCTAGAAACAGATAATTATATTCTAGCTTTGTCTTCTTTCTTTCAATTCTTTATTTCTTTCAAGATATCAACGAATGTGAAATGGGGAAATCCGGTTGTCATCAAAACGCAACATGTGTCAATACAGTCGGAAGTTACCAATGTGTCTGCGACAGTAAATATACTGGCAATGGCACTTACTGCACTCGAATTGGTAAATAATTCATAATTCACACCATATCACCTCTAGACTAGTCACTAGATTATAGATTGCACTGAAACTTAGTTCAAGGAACATACGTTAGAACTAGAACAAGATGTGAACACAAAAGTTTGTAAAATTTTTTGTTATTCATGAGTAATTCATCTGAAAGACAAATTTTTGTATATGCAATGTATTGGTAATAAAAAAAACACTTATAATTGAGGAAATTTACGATATTTTCATTTCGCTCCTCTAAGTTCCATTTAGCCGGTCTAGGGGTGATATCCCATGTGTTTCCAGTGTGAACTGTAATGATGTCGGCACAGCAAGGGCAGAGTCTTCGCAACCGCCACTAAAGTTTCCTAAAGCTATGGCATCAGCTGAAGCTAGAGCAGGGGATAACGTCAAAGGTACAAGCAAGTGCAGAGTCAATCTGGTTACAGTCATCTTTCAATGTTGAAGAAAAAAGGAACATGATTGTCATACATTTTTACACCCCTCTGCATGTTTGACAAAGAGAGAAATCATGAATTGGAGCTGGAAAGCTGGCGACTCAAAACTTCAAGATTCAGAGACTGAGAACGTTTTATAGATAGAACAAAAACAATCTCGAGGATTTTCTTTATAGTAACAAAAACCAAAGGGGGCATTTGGCCCTTAAACGTTATAAAATGAAAAGAATAATATGTATTGTATCCCGAATAATTAAAATGGCTTTCATAAAAAGTTACTCAACAGTCATGAAAGGATATTTAATATTCTTCATTTTTTGTAATTGCGTCATACCTTATATCTGATAAAAAGCTGTCATGGAACGTTACTCACCAAATATAAAATTAAAAGGGAAAATTATTAAAATTATCCAAATTCATTAATTTATGGACTAGTTATGAAAGAATATTTGATATTCGTCATTTTTGTAATTACGTATTATTACCTCATATCTGATGGACAGAAAAAAACAAATCAGGTTATTTATTGAGTCATCTTTGTTCTCTTTGTTTAACATCTAGATGAAAACGTGCCCCAATTAGTAAGCCTCACAGTAATTGCAATCGACCATTTTGATCCAACGATTGACATGGTGTCAAATAGCACAGTAATATCAGCATTTGTCGCCCATCCTTCGTCAGAATTCGGCACCGCTCGGATAGGTTCGGCCTTAACCGGACCCGATGGTGTTGCAATATTGTCAGTACCTCACAACCGGACGATTATCATCACTGCAACCCGTAATGAATACCTAGCCAATTCTATTACCGTAAAGGCAAACCTAAATCAGAGTAAGTGGAGTATATCATAATGTGGTGAGAGTATAGATAACCATAGGGTGAGAAAAGAAGAGAAAGAGAGAATGAGAGAGAGAGAGAGAGAGAGAGAGAGAGAGAGAGGGGGGGGGGGGGACTGATTGGTAAGAGAGGAAGGGGTCTTTGGCAAATAGGTTGCGAGTTAACGCAAATTTACTTTCAACCAATCAGAATCATGTATTTAGGACTCTTTCTGTCCTATAGAGTTGCGTTTAATCACCACTTGCTTTGCACAGGTTGCTAGAGGCTGCAAACTAGAATGAGAAGAAAAATATCCCTTAATTTGGTTTGCCATTCATCTTGTTTAACAGGTATTTTAGATTATACTTTCTTCTCTAACATAATGGTTTCTCAAATTTTCAGATGAACAACTCACATTTATGCAGGGGTTAGTTCAGTGGCGTACGCAGGATTTTTTTCAAGGGGGGGGGGGGGTTAAAATCGGGCCCAAAATTTCGCAACGACTCAGGAAAATTTGAAAATCGCGCCGGCCAAAAAGTCGCTCAGTGGGGGGGGGGGGGGGGGGGAGTCGAAAAAAAATCGCAACGACTCAGCCAGCCGAAAAGTCTCGCTCAGTGGGGGGAGGGGGGGGGGGGGGGGGGGGGTAAGAGGACACTTTTTTTTTTAGTCTCGAAATTTGAAAATTTGACATTTTGTTCCGTTGGGGGGGGGGGGGGAAGGTCACCTTTTTTAGGTCAGCCATTGAAATAATTTTTTTTTTTTTTAATTATTACAAAAAGAAAAAAAATCAAAAGGGGGGGGGGGGGTTTCACAAAAATCATACACAAAACATACACATAAAAAAAAAACCCAAGTGGGGGAGGGGGTAACCCCAACCCCCCCCCCCCCACCCCACCCCCTGCGTACGCGGCTGGGTTAGTTACACCTATCTGTAAACTCCTTCTAACCATTTCGGAGTGATCAAAACAATGAGGAAAGAGCTCCTTTCCTACAACGTAATCACGTAAAATCCTATAACAGTTTCAATATTTTGTTTCCTTAGTCATGCGGTCCACAAGATAAAATGAAATAGGCCTCCCATTTCAAATGCCTTCAACATTAGCAACCACATAGATATGTTCAAAATCAGTTCTATCTTCATTTCTATGTTCATCCACAGCTAATTGAACGTGCCCTGATCCGGGTGAGACCGAGTTTGCCACCCGTACTCTCGGCGGCCTACACTATTCTAAATCGGTCCAATACACCTGTGCCCCTGGGTTCTCACCTGAAACGAGATATGGTAACAGGACTTGCTTAGAATGTGGACTGTGGTCGGACTCGGATCACCCTGTCAGCTGCATGTACTCGTTTCCATGAACGAAGTTTCATAGTTCTTTGGTGTGCAGTACTCTCACACGGGCGCTTCCAGGAAAGTCAGAAGAAGGTGACAACATGTTTGGAAACATGGAATTTCTCCTTAATCTCCAGGAATCCTGGATCCCTGCGAAGTGGAGAGAGCATGGCGAGTTAGCGACACGTCAATCGGTGACGGATCCTCTCGATATAAGTTTCCCCAATATAGGAAGAAAGGGAGTAATGTTTTGTTTTATTTATACCATTTCTTCCACCCTCCTCCATTACTACCACCTTTATCCGCCCATGTGCATGAGAGTGATTGATTTTGATCGAACAAGACTCAAAGAATGATGGGTAAAAAGTAGCACATTAAGTATAAACCTCCGGACCGAAAGAGCCGTATAGTTGAGCAAGGAAGAGGAGTCATCATCGCCATCAATGTTAGTTGTCGGTCTCTTTAATCTGATAATTCAGAATGTTTTGAATATGGATGAAAGAAGTTTGATTGCTCGAGGCAACAAACGTAACACCTATTAATCCTTTCTTTCAGTATTTCTGCTAGGCATCATGATAATCGTAATTTTCCTTCTTCAGAAGGCCTATAGTAGATCTATGAGATATTAATTTGTAAGGCTTCTGTGATTCATTTTGCCCCCTGCCATTGTATTGTAAGTAATGCAATTTCATAAGCCTACATTGTTTTCATGGCATGGGTATTATCTTACTCCTTAGTTATATAAGAAAAGAAGAAAGATTAGCTCTTGTCAGTTCCCATCTTAAATCATGAAGGCTGTATAGTGTCAACGCTGAAGATTTTGATAAAATAATTCTGAGGCTATGTCACAACCATACTTTGTGAATCTTTATAATGTCTTTTATTAAATATAACATTCGACATTTGAACCTTTCTAGAAGACAATGTTTTTGTTTCGTCTCGAAATAGCTTGTATATTGACAGTATAGTTATACCCCCCCCCCCCCCCCCCCCACCCCCACTCAGTATTATTTAGGGTACGCGTATGCATGTTTCCTCCCTTTGGAAGCACCCCCTATCTCCGGTGTGTAAATTCAATACGCGGGCCGGATTTTTGCGTGAAGTGGACCCCTTTACCGGAGTTTTGGGTAACAAAAATTAATGTGGTCCCTCCGAGCGCGGAGTGGGTGAGGGGGGGTTATACTGTCTTGTTTAAGTTCATGAGTTTAATTCCGCTGCACACGAGGCGTTATTTCCCTTGCGTGGCGATATTCAAATAAATGCACATGCAGAAAAGGCCCAGACGCAATGTGTGGGCACGGACGTAATCCCTTAAAGCATTGTACGACGGCCTATATAGCGTAATGTTCCATTTTCTCTGAAACTCGACTTGAAGGGAATACTGGCGTAACAATAAACACATTTTTGGATTTGGTCCAACATGCTGGAAATCGTTGAAACTAATTGCGCAACACAGTTAGCACGCAGCATATTCATGGACTATCTGCAGATAGATGGCGCTATGAGGAATATAAGAAATAACCATATCGATGCAATTTCAACTGCGTGATGATACTACTCTTCTTATCAATAATTATTTCCAATACGTCAACAGCAACGCCTCCAGAAAATTAGTGGCATTAAGAGGACTTTAATAGGAGAGGGCATGCTGGGAGGTAGAAAACATGATTATCTCAACAGCCATCTAAAACTGGCTCAGTTGGATGAATCGCAAATCAACAAAAAAAATGTGAACAATTTAGAAATCAAATTAAACACAAACACACATACAAAAATCACCGACAACATTTCGTAAGACACTATATTCTCCAGACCACGCCGTTTATTTACAGATAGTCCAAGTTGACCTTGAGTGGTATGTGTTTACTTTACCATGTCAACAAGAAACCCCAAATATGCAACTATAAATTTCATCTTCTCTCTCTCTCTCTCTCTCTCTCTCTCTCTCTCTCTCTCTCTCTCTCTCTCTTGTCTTGCTATCTGTCTCTAGCTCCCTCTTATTCTCTCCCCCTCTCTAACCTCTAAGTAGATTTTCTGTTTTGAACACAGGCAGGCAGGAACAATTCGTTAAATACAGATTGTGATGGAAACAGAAACAATGTTCTTTTTTTATAAATTATGTTAATATGTCCCGTAATATTTTTTGTGTTAGGCATATAAGGGAAACCAGAGACATTCTTCTCACATTACAATCATAAATATTCATGTGTCTAAAATTATGAATGATTAATACATGTTGATTATTCATTCGTTTTAAATTGATTATATCTAAAATTAGCCTACATTCAGACATTCTTTTTCGACATTCTTGATCACTGTTTGAATCAAACGAATCTTTGAAATATACCCTTCTGTTTTCTCTCTCTCTCTCTCTCTCTCTCTCTCTCTCTCTCTCTCTCCCTCCCATCACCCAACCTTTCCTACTTCTCTCTTGCTCTGCATGTCTGTTTGTATTTCTCTCTCTCTTTCTCTCTCTCTCTCTCTCTCTCTCTCTCTGTATATCTATCAATCTTCCGTATGTTGATAGCATACACTGTACCAATATCACTTACATTCTTCAAACGCCTATGCACAGAAAAAAATTACCATATACGTACACGATACTCACAGTTTTCTCTATGATTTATTCATGAAGCATCTTTCTGCAAACGACATTTAATTATATAGAAAATGTTTTAATGTTGCTTATTGTAATTTTCTTTCGCTAAATGCCCTGGATTCGCATAACATGAAATATTAGGTAACAATTAAACATGAGACGAAGATTTGGTTGAACAAAAATTGAATTTAAAAAAATCTATGATTGTTTAATGTACTTGGACATTTAAATTAACTGTATGTGAAGCGAGTTGACACTATCAAATGTGAATATAATTAGTCTAATCAATAATCCATACATTTTCGATAAATTACAGCATTCAATTTATTCTTTGCCGATGCGTTAATATTGAGTGAGCATTATGACCTAGTGTAGCAAAGGGGAAGGTTGGCTCCTCAAAGACGATGTCCTATAAACATGATAGATCAGTTAAGTTGATTTTCGCTTTAGAGATTACGTGGCAGAAATACTGTGATTATTATATGGTGTTATAAATTCATCCGCTCATCTGCTCATCTGCTCATCGCAATAACTTGCGAAGAGGCGGAAAACATGAGTGGAGATGTCGGAAAGCGGCCTATGACCTTCTGCTATTAAGGAATCGTCGGATCCATTGGCGGCCCTGCTGGATTCGTCGCTGCAGGGGCAGACCGGGGTTAGGGGCTGCGGTAGCCGGAGCTGGAGCTGCGGTAGCCGGAGCGGGAGCTGCGGTAGGAGCTGGTGCTGGAGTAACCGCCGCGGTTTCTTCACTGCTATCGCTGCTGCTACCGCTGGTGCTGGTGCTGGTGCTGGTGCTGCCCGAACTACTAGAAGATCGCTTGTGGCGACTTCGACCTTGAGAGGAAGAAGACAGCATTGAAAACATAAAGTTCAGACGTGTTCACTGAAACCAAAATGCTTATACGAAAAATATGCGGTCTTCATTTTCTTTTCTCATTTTGTTAAGCTAATAATGCTTCGTTATATTCTGTATTTCTTCATAAAATTAAACTGCTCTTTTTTGGAGTATAGGCCTAATGTTATGGTAATGATGATCATAAAAAAAGATGGAGTTATCGAAAATCCGTGAAAAGAGAAGCAGCAGCAGAATATGAATGAAAGAAAATGAATAATTACATTAGGAGTATAACTTTTACATATTTCACATTACATTGTTTATTATCCAACAGCATTCGGTAGTATATTATCAAAGGATTGCACGATTATCATTGTTTCTAACGCTCGTGACGTTGTAACTCGAATATATTTTCGTTGGATGTGAAGTATATTAGCGATTGTTGATCAACGACATTATAGCATTATTTTATGCACATTAGAACAGTTGAATCTCCGAATACGTTTTCATGAAACGTTAAAGCAAAGGAAATGTTCTATTTAACTAATCAAAGAAGCAAAACCAATTAAAATGATTTCCATTTGAAACGAAAAATTTATTTTCAAAGTGTAATTTTCCCATTTTTATCAGATTCTTTATTAAGTATATATATAGTTAGGATACACTATTATTGTCTACTTTGAAATGAAATATTAGAGTAATATCATCGTGAAAGGAAATGCGCTGAGTGCATCCGAAAATTATTTACTGACAGAGATGACATCATACTGGACTGAGAAAATGATTTAATACGTTATAGCAAGACAAGATAAGAAGAAAGAACTTAGATGACATTGAAACAGAAATACAATTCTTACAGGTCTTACCTTCGACTGTGAGCAGCATTGCACACAGCACGACACAAACAGTGAACATCATTGGCTTCATCTACGGAGTAAAATGAAAACACAAATAGTTATATTGCATTCTCATAAATAGAATGTAGGACGTCAGTAAATGTAAGAGACACATTCAAACAGAATTCATAATAACACATTCATGACAATAATTCTAAATTAGTAATAGCTTGTTTACTCTGGGACTCTCAATTATTTACCGTCGATGATCTTTTCTTAATTTAAAAATACACTTTCGTTTAGTTTGTCATGTATACACTAAGAAATTAAGGTATTAATTTGCACCCTTAGGGGTGCAGTCCTCTACAACAGAGCAGCGACCTAGATGGAGCATACGTGCACAATTATAGGGTGCAGAGATTTGCTACAAAAGCAGACCCCATCGGGTGCAATTCTGCACCCTACTTTGGGGTGCAGATATACACCCTTAGGTGTACACGTCGAGTCCGCTTGCGTCTTTGTTTAAATCTAGGCAAGCCATCCGTAATGAATCAAGTTAATGAATCAAAGCGGCTTGGAAAGAGGTCACAACCAATTAAAATGATAAACGCCTATAAACCGAAACAACGATAACAACAACAACAAATTTATTATATTTTGCTTTGCCTCGCTTTTTATAAAGGCAAAAATAGGAAGGAATTACCGATTGAGCCAGCGATTGGTTGATGAAAGCTGGGTTTGCATGCTTATTATAAACCTGAACCTAACTCTAAGAGGTGTCGACAGTGTGTATAGAAGATGTACTGACCCCAATTTGATTCAAATGATATTGCGCTCATTGCTTTTTGTAATAAAAAAAATTTAAACACTTAAGTGAAATAATCTTTTTATCTTAGAACATGATTAATCCTATTCTTCGAATATCGACACAATCTTGAGGACATATTCGACTTTGAATTATTATTTATTAATCATTAAGGTTTGAAATATGCTACGCTGTGTGCATATTGCAAAGCCTCCAACTTCTCGCACCCCCATTATGGTGCACATATACGCCGCTTGCCAAGTACTGCACCCTAAAAAGAGCAGACCAGCACCCTCTGTCAGATGATGGGAGCAGATCTGCACACCAATTGCGCCCTTATTTCTTAGTGTGTATATTATGATGAGAGGCACTACGTCGTATAGAAGTGTCAAGCTATCGTCAATTCATTAATTATTGTCAAAATCATTATAGGAAGTATAACGACTCTCATTCCTCCATCGATGTCCCTACCATCCAGTTAAAAAAAAAAAAAAAATGAATTCATCTTTCCAGCGATTGACCTAGTTTGGCTTTGTTCGAAGGCACTTTAAACTCATAAAGATGTGCGGCGAATAACATTAACCGAAATTAATGCGGTCACAGCTAAACTGAAAAATAATTAACTGAAATGTTTTCATGCAACGATATCGCTTTAACTATCATTCACACTATAGTAACAAACTTAAAATTACACATAATTTACGGCGGTAATGAATGATTGCAACTTACTTTGAACGAAGTGACGTTCTTCCGAAACTGCTGGATGATAATAAACTCAGAGTGATCTCAGATATACCACTACCGCTACGATGCGACCTTGCTTTGAATATTTTCAAACTCGTAGCTTATATAGAAAGAACTATAATCCTCCTCTAGGAGTAGATTTGTATCATTTCGACTTTGCTGTCGTGATCAATTTTCGAATCGTTCGTCAAAAATAATTACAAAACATTGGGGACGATTCGGAAAATCCCTTCACGCAGGTGACGTAAATTTTTATGATTTCAAGATTTAATTAATGAAATAGGTTAATTAGCTTATCATTTTTGTTCAGTGCGAATGCATAGAATTGCTTTTCAATTAGCTTTTGTATATATATATATATTATAGTGAGAATTATGCCTTTAAGTTTGACTACATGAATTCATGAGTCGATGTCTGTATAGATCTTTGGAATTAATTTATCAAGTTCTTGACGTTAATGTTTCAGACTACATCGCTTATAACTCACATATCCCACATGCATAAACAACCATATTCACTTTTTTTTTCTTCAGGATCTTTTTTTCTCTGAAATACTTTTGTTTCATTATTAATCTTAATTTCGAGGGCGTAATAATTAGGATAACTTACCAAGTGGCTGTTGTAATTAATGGATCAGTATAGCACGCAGTAGGATTTAATGACTTTGCTTTTTTTATTATTTAATGCTATACCAAGCCTATTGGCATTGCGGGCTCGCGATTTGGCATCATCGATATGAAGCAGAGGGAGAGAGAGAGAGAGAGAGGGAGAGAGAGAGAGAGAGAGTGAGAGAGAGACAGAGAGACAGAGTAAGAAAGAAGATGAAATTTATATTTGCATATGTGGGGTTTCTTGTAGACATTGTAGAGTAAACACATACTACTCAAGGCCAGCTTGGACTATCTGTAAATAGATGGCGCCCTGAAGAATATAAAAAATAACCATATCGATGTAATATCAACTGCGTGAAGCTACTTTACTATCAATAATTATTTCCAATAATGCCAGCAACGCCTGCAGAAAATTAGTGGCATTAAGAGGATTTTGATAGGAGAGGGCAAGTCATCAGCCATCTTAAACTGGCTCAGTTGAGGGCGATGAATCGCAAATCAACATAAAACAGTCAAAACAATTAAGAAATCAAAGTAAACACAAACACACATACAAAAATTACTGACAACATTTCGTAAGACACTAACGGTGTGGGGGTTTTGCCCGCCTGCCCCTCCTGGTAGTAGGCCAACCGCATTATTCGGCATTAACGAGGTTTTGGAATCAGAAATCGACTTTGTGTTTAAAAATAAAAATGTAATGTAATTGTTTGTTTATTTATTTTAAACAGTACATGCAGCTCAGGGCTGGTTTTGTCTGTGTTTACGAAGTAATCAGATATTTACTTTATAGTACAAGCATTACATCAAAATACGAAATCAATACAACAACATAACACAGCAATATTATAACTGATTTAGGAATGTATCAAAGATGTCGATAAGTAGTTATTAAAATTTAAAAAAGTTAGGCAATATCAGAAATTTTAGGCTTATTGCACAACAGTATCACTTTTGGCAAACAATTTTAGTTGAGTATGAGTGGGAATAAGTGCACTAATGTACAAAATAAATTTGGAGAACCATCGACAATGGGTAATGAGAGAAATTAAATCAGATCGCAAAACAACCCAAAGCCGTCCAAAAAAGACACCCCCCCCCCCCATCAGAAATTAAATGCTCATGATTGTGATTTTAAAATTCTGTCATAACCGATTCATTGGTGAGATAAATATACATAATGAATACAAAGGTTGAATTAAGTACTTCATTCTGACAATGAAAAAACAATGTTGGATATCACAGTTTAAGAAGAAGAAGAAGAAAATTACAAATCTTAAAGGGTTAAAATTCATATTTGTATTTGGCTGTTCATAAAATTAATGAAATGTCGTAAATTCATTCTTATATTCTTTATTACTATCGTCTCTACATAAAAGAAACAAATACACAATTTGCTTAAAAAGAAAACAACACCAATCAAAATCTCTTCTTACGCTCTGAATACAGACCATTGTTTTTGTTTTGGGGTTGTTGTTTTTTCTCAAAAATAAAGTTTCGTCATTCCCTTCTCTGTGGATTTAAAAAAAAAATTATTAATTGAACAATGATTTTGCATGTACCTATTTGTTTAATGACATGATAATGAATGTAAATAGGTGTTTTATCTTATTTTGACGCGGCAAGTAATCATACCTTACTTTTGTGTTACATTGTATTTGCAATGTATTGTGACACCTGAAACTTTAAAACTCGAGGGTGCCAAACTGCCAAATATGGCAAATTATTAAAGTGGGCTGGTCAAAATAAGAGACCTCTTGAATGGTCAGTATGAGGGATCGGCCGTCACAAGAGCAAATCAAGTTCGTGTCGAATGACTATTCTTTTTGGCAGATGAAGCTGCGAGAAACCTCAAAATATCCCTAGGATGATCAAAATTCTCGCGATCCCAACGTCAAAGTCGTAGTTGTGCCAAAGACGTGACAACGAATAGATGTGTCACCCGTGTATACGTCAGATTCTCGAGAAATGGCATCATCGCTTCTTTGTGATGTCATTGTCACTGCTTAATTATTCGAGGAAGGGCAGGCGAGAAATCATATCAGTTGACAAGAAATGTCTAAAGGTAATCTCAAAAGTAGGATTCATCAGGAATCTGCTCATGGTTTAATAATTTCGTAAATTAAAGTAATGATATTTCATTGGTAACTTGTAAAAGTTGTAAAAATATGTTTATTCATTTTTAACAGGCTCAGTAAACTAAAATCTCTGTCGAAACACTTGGACTAAAGAAACTGAGTTTCTTTCCGATGAACATTCAAAATGCATGATACTTTGTTCTGACTGTAAGTCAGACTTAGAACTCCATGATTAATAAATGCTCTTTTACCATGTTTACTGATATTAATTAAATCAAGCCCTTGCCTTGATAAACGAAATCTCTTTCTTGTTTGTTTTCTTAATGCCATGTTATTGGCATTGCGTAAAACGGTCTTGTTTATGTCTCATCAAATTCAAGATTTTCAAAAAAATTCAAATCCATATGCATTTAAGTCCTATGGCTACTACACTTATAAACCAGTTTGATTGAATTGATGAATAAATGAACGAACGAATACCATGAATGAATGGATGGATTAATTGATTAATATTCAAGAAATTATTATTGATCCGATTTATTTCAAACTTTCGCCATTTTGTTTATCTTATGTTTCTGCTTTCATATAAATTACAAGGGTGTGATTGCCCTCTATAATGGATTAATATTCAAGTCCCTAGTTCCTGATTGTTACCTTGTTTTGTGGTGTTTTGTCCTGTTTTGTTTATTGTGAGCAACCATGACTAACACCTGGCAGCCAGTGGCAGGGTTCATTTCTCAGTAAGCCTTCAGCTTTGATGAACAGGCTATAGAGGAACTAAAAAATTATATGATGACTCTATAAAATAATGTGACGCCAGGTCATTCTACTTCAGAGTGTTTCGAATTTCTCTATATAAACCTCTTGACTGGCAAAGAATTCTCAAAGTTAGGAGTCGCAGAACCGATACAGCAATTTTGTGCACCTCATCAGCTTGAATATACAAGTATCGACATAAATTTGAATGTAAGTATATCATCCGAATTAATAATCAATATTGATAAGAGGCATCTTGAATTTTGGATTTTCCGTAAATACTTTTTCTTCTTGATGTAAGATCGACGTTGATCGATGTTGCAATTCGGTTAGAATTTGATGGGGTTATACAGTATATAAACAGGCTTTCTCTTTGTAGTTTTTTGGCCTCAATTATTATTATACCATGGAGATATATATCTCCATGATTATACTGTGATTCATTGATTATTGAGGTAAAAACTCGGGGTAGCGAACAGTTCCGACATTGGTCTGTGACTCTGTGTAAGTTCGCAAAGGGATGGTCGTATTTTCTGTCAAAGGCTAATATCCTTGCTTTCGCAGAAGAAAAACAAACTCTCATTATTGTTCCGATATTGTTTCTATTTTCAACAGATGAAGCAACATACCGTGATGACAGCGTGCATTTTGCTATGCCTCTTAGCGCTAGTTTCAGAAGGTAAGTGCCTTTTTACTCCATGAATTAACAAGTAGATATGTATCAAATCAATAGAACTCTCACACAAAACTTTTGTCTGCCTCTTTGATTTTATTTTGTTTTAATTTTTGTTTGGTACCATGTATTTTGTATTTTTTCTTCTTCATTCTATCGAATCTTATAAATATGTGATTCTCACACAAAACATAATTAAAATTACTCAGCAGGAAAAAACATGAAGAATGTCATTCATAAAATAACATTCTGGATAATGATATTTAATTGGCATTGCATCCTCTTATTACAACTCATTCTATAAATCATGTTTGATATTTCATTATCGTTTTAGCGCATCCCCAAGGCCGACACGGCGAAAGGCGTATCAACACCATTCTCGAAAGGATACAAAGATCAGGAATTTGCGAGGAGTACAACGCCGCAACGGAGGAAGAAAAAACTACATGTTCTGATGAGTTCGTCAATGGTCTCCTGCCTCGTCGTTCACCCGCAGACATCGTCGCTTCCATTTGTCTGGAAGGTGGTGTGACGGCCACGTCTGCTTGCGTAATTCTGGACATCGTGTGCGCCACGGATACTACAGGAACTTCAACATTGGAAACCTGCCCCCGCTCTCAAGGTAAAATTGAGACTTGTATTTTCTCTTAATTTCTTTAGAAGAATGACGCGGTGAAAAGTCGATACTTTTTAAGATTATGAACAAATAGCTTATCGTTTACTTCATTTAAATTCAAGGTGAGTTTACTTGTTTTAAAAGTAAAACTACGAAACACACTTATCAAAAATGTTACGATCACTTTTAAGAAATATTGATATAAAGTTATTTCACTTAACTAAAATTTATTGGGAAATGTGACCATACTCTTTTCCCTCTTCTTTTTATATATTAGTGTTATTATCGTAATTGTCATCATCATCATTATTATAATTATTATTATTATTATTATTGTTATTATGCATTATGGCTTAAGACATGGGCACACAGAGGATTTTTTATTTTGGGAACCGGGGTAAACTGCAATAAATTAATGAAAATTTATTGCATTTTTTTTATTTTATTTTTATTTATGGAAACTTCCCCCTACCCTAGCCCCCACTGCGTACAGTCATGGTTCAGTGACAAAGCAATGGCCTCGTAACTGTGAGGCATAGGATCAAAACCGTGTCAATGTGCTATATTAGTGCCCTTTTGTGGGGCATTAATCCTCATTACTGTCATTTATGACTTAAGGGCGTAGGTCCCCTAATTGATAAGCACAGTAGCATACACATGCTTTAGCAGTCACGCAAAACACACATTGTCAAAATATTATTCAATAAAATCTGAGAATGTATACTATTATCTAGATCTATTATTTTTAAATTATTTTTAAAATAATTCCATAAATTGGGGTCAAACAAAAATATTCCAACTATATGAGCGACAGTGTATTATTATTATTATTATTGTTTTTATCATTATTATTATTACTTTCATTATTAGTATTAATATTATCATCATCATCATCATCATCATTCCTAATATCATTATTACTAATGATAATATTATCATTATCATTATGTTTCTCTTCAGGTAATCGCAAAAGGCGTGACGATAGCGAAGAAGAAGAAGAAGAAGAAGAAGAAGAGGAAGAAGAGGAAGAGGAAGAGATATTTAATTGGCACTGCATCCTCTTATTACAACTCATTCTATAAATCATGTTTGATATTCCATTATCGTTTTAGCGCATCCCCAAGGCCGACACGGCGAAAGGCGTATCAACACCATTCTCGGAAGGATACAAAGATCAGGAATTTGCGAGGAGTACAACGCCGCAACGGAGGAAGAAAAAACTACATGTTCTGATGAGTTCGTCAATGGTCTCCTGCCTCGTCGTTTACCCGCAGACATCGTCGCTTCCATTTGTCTGGAAGGTGGTGTGACGGCCACGTCTGCTTGCGTAATTCTGGACATCGTGTGCGACACGGATATTACAGGAACTTCAAGTTCAACATTGGAGTTGTGCCCCCGCACTCAAGGTAAAATTGAGACTTGCATTTTCTCTTAATTTCTTTAGAAGAATGACGCGGTGAAAAGTCGATATTTTTTAATATTAAGAACAAAATAGACCATCGTTTACTTCATTAAACTTCAAAATGAGTCGACGTGTTTTAAAAGAAAAATTACGAAACACACTCAGAAAAAATGTTACGATTACTTATGGATTAATTATGGATATAAAGTTATTTCACTTGAATAAATTTATGGGTAAATGTAACAACATTTTTGTCCCTGTTTTTTTCATTTATTAGTGTTATTATCATAAGTATCATCATCATCATTATTATGATTACTGTTATTATCATAATTATTATCATTATTATTATCATTATTATTATCATTATTATTATCATTATTATTATTATTAAATTATTATTATCATTATTATTATTATTATTATTATTATTATTATTATTATTATTATTATTATTATCATTTTTATCATTATCATTGTTTTTATCATTATTAGTACTATTATTATCATCATCATTATCATTCATATTACTTTTATTATTACTATTAATAATATTATCACTATCATTATGTTCCTCTTCAGGCAATCGAAAAAGGCGTGACGATGACAACGAAGAAGAGAGTGGTCAAGAGAGTAGTCAAGAGAGTGGTGAAGATGAGGCTGACGTTGATGCAGCTGAAGGGGGTACAGGTACTGGTGCCGATGGTATCCCTGGAACCGCTGCAGGTGTAACCGATAGCGCTGCGGCTGATGCACCAGGTGCCGCTGCTACCCCGGCTGGTACACCGGCTGGTACCCCGGGTGGAACAGCGGCTGGTACCCCGGCTGCGACCCCGGCTGGAACAGCGGCTGGTACCCCGGCTGCGACCCCGTTCCTAACCCTTGAACTCTATGTCCTTAATTCGTGAGATTATAAACGCTTTTCATAATAATGTCCATTTTTCATGTTATACATTTTCTTCTTATGTAAACGGTACTTTCAGCTAGGCCTATACTTCTCCAATCCTTAGCATAATCTGTAGAATGAATGGATGGGCTCAATGAGCTCAAGTACTTCACTTTAAACTCATATTTACTAAATGAACTGTCACTCATATCTAGACCCCATGTTATCAGTTATTGAGCAACCCACACCCACTTATATAATTGTTCCATGACACCTGCACTTTAACGATTTCACTGCATGGGTTATGGTTTGTAAGAATGGAGTCATGTTGACGATGAAAGCTCCCCAATTCCTTTGAACAGGTTGCTCTTATTTTTTATATCACGAAGAGTAAGATGCAAACAATATTTATAACAGTATTTATATCAGAGACATTTTCTTCGTTGATTAATTTCTCTTACCAATGTAGATGTATTTCATTAGTCATCAAGATCACATCAGCCACTGCCATTCATGTTGTTCTAATTTGTACTGTCTCAATTTGTTAATTATGAAAAGCGGAAGGTATTCGTGTAGCCTATATAAAGCGTAAAATGGAAATTGGAAATAAAATCGTTTTGTAAAATATGAGGAAATTTATGGCTTATGGACAAATCAATTTCTATGTGTGTGTGTAGTTGGTCAAAAGATGAGTTGATGGTAGACCTAAACATTTTTAAAAAGATTAAAAATGAGGAAGAGGCAGATAACAGGGGCAGATGGGAGACAGAGAAAAAGAGAGAAAAAGAGAGAGAGAGAGAGAGAGAGAGAGAGAGAGAGAGAAACAGAGAGCTAGACAGTGAATCAAAGAGGGAAAGAGAGAGGGAGAGAGAGAGAGAGAGAGAGAGAGAGAGAATGATTGAGGATAAAAGATATAAGCCAGCCCCAGGGGTGGATCCAGGAATTTCTACCCGGGGGGCACACTGGGGGGCACACGGGGGGTAAGAGGACATATATAAATATATATAATTTTTTTGGTCCCATACAAATCGCAACGGGGGGGGGGGGGGGTGGGGGTAGTGCGCACTAATTTTTATTTTATTTTTGGGGCCGGGGGCACGTGCCCCCTGTGCCCCTCCCCCCCCCCCCCCCCCCCCCCCCTCCCTCCCCAACTCTGGATCCGCCCCTGAACCCATAATATGGAGTGTAGAACAAATATTGGACCGAGTATTCGAGGAATTACAAAAGAGAGTGCGAAGACAGTGAGAGAGTCAGGCAGAAGAGAGAGGGAGGCAGACAGGCTGGATTGCATAAAATTCCGTTAGTCACACACGTTGCCATTTCGTAGATGGCTGTAGTCAAACAAGTGGTCTGGCGCCATCTCTTGTTTACAATTACAGTACAATTTGGCTACTCAGAGATATTTTTTTTTTTTCTCGAACAAAATCATCAGTGCTCAGACTCCGGGTCAGACTCCGTCTAAACAAGTTGGGTCTAAACCTAAAAATAATGTCCACGTCAAGTTCGCATCTATTATGTAGTAAACTACAGGAAGAAAAAATAAAAAAAGTAAATAAAACTGCCAAAGTAAAAAAAAAAAAAAAATCTGCAACAAAAAGGGTAGTGTCTGCGTACTATGGATGGATACTGGAATTTGTAAAGTAGGAGGGGGAGGGGAGGGGGGCGTCTTTCTTTTAAATGACCCCCAAATCAAGTTCGGCAGTTTCCAAGTCATGTGTAAAAGAGGCTGTTTTGTACATGAATTTTTTTAATGCATTTTTTCAAGTATTGGCAAATCCCTATTTAAAATACATCATCAAACACAGTGATGTTATTGCTTTATAAGATAAGTGAATGGGGAGAGGGTATAGAGTTTTACAAAATGCGTTCATCATCTGAAGAGGGTTAAAGATGACGGGAATAAGTTGCTAACCTCCCCCAACAAAGTATCCAAGTGAAATCGTATAGTGTTGATGTCAGGAAGCGTCCGATTGCTCCAAAATATCTCGCATAACGTTTGACGTCGTCGCCCCGGCCCCAGTTCCAAAACATAATTATGATCGATATTCGCGTGATTGAAAAAAAATTCTTCAACTTGTTATACTACAAACAAACAAAAACTCGTTAGAAAAGCAATTTCTCAGCTGATTTGCTGTTTGCTGCATGCCGTCAGCACACTTTAAGCCACAAAAGTTTTTTTTGCTTATAAGTGGATCGACAATTAAAATTGTTAAAGCCATTAAACTACCAGTGGCTAGTAGGTAGCTTGCATGGGCTCATTCATTTTGAAATCAGCGTATTTCAATTGTTTATTAGTCACTGCACCCTTTTAGAGGGTAAAAAGTTTTGCGTAACCCCAATGATTTCTTTGTACCTGTCCCTCATACACATACGAACGATTACAATTTTGCGTGAGGAAACGAAGCGATCGAGGCAAGCGAAAAGGATGACTTTCATTATGGAAAAAAGGTTATTTCTGTCATCTATAAACATTAGATAAAATGGAAAATTATTATATTCAGTTCATCTTTGCTACATCTTGATCTTTCAATTTTGAGAGAAGTGAAGCAAACGAGGGGAAAAGAAACACTATTATGTTGTGGTATTAATTTCATTTTGATTTTAAAAATAGAATGAATTAAGATTAAATCGGGCCCTATGCTGCCCGAATCAAGTCGATATTCCTGTAACGAGGTGGCCGAGTATTGTCATATTTATGATCATGGGGATATTCATGGCCCTCGCTGCCTGTAACCAAGTCCATGCTGAAACTACCCCATTTGGCTAAAGTTTGCGAGCGAGCGAAGCGAGCAAGGGGAAAAGACACTTTACTGTCTCTGAGATATTATTTCCTCATTAAAATACCCAACTATTCTGCCTTGGCATCTTGCGGTTTCTGATACTAGTTTCATGAATTTACGTTATCCTAAAATATTCTTGCGGCTCATCGGTTAAAAAACGCTGTAGATAATTGTCAAAAGTTTAGGGCCGGGGCAGATTGACCAGGCCGGGAGGGGATGTATAGCCCTTGAGTGAGAAAATTGGCATTTTAAAGTGATTTGATTTCATTGTTGTCCCAAGATTACTGATTCACATAACATTGTAATTTTTTAAGAGAGCTTTCGAGCAATCTTCCTCTTGATATTATTTCACGTTCTTTTTCCTTTTCCTTCATCTCTCCCCTCACTCTCACCTTTTTTTTTTTGGGGGGGGGGATTCGATTGGGGGAGGGGGAGGAGGCACCCCCCCCCCTCCGCCCCGTACCTACGCCTCTGTGCCCCATCCTCATAATTTATTTGCCTTTTTCGTTGCTTTATCTGACACATCTTGGGAATTTGAATCACTATCTGCGGGACTTTCAGCGACCACGACAAGCGAGGATATTTTCCAGGCTTTTCAAGTAATACTGCATTTTGGAGCACGTACATCCCAAGAGACCGACATCAAGTGACGACAACAACATCGACAAGGACAGACTATAGGCACAAAATTGAAGGTTCACGAGTGAGCATTAATTATTTTGTTTGGCCCTCTAATGATTTGCAAAAAACTTATCGCACCCCCTGGCCCTTGAGCGCCAGGGGAGGGGCCCGGAGCTTCAACTTGAAAAGGTGTTTTTTTAAAGGTTTTCCCCCGCCCCCCCCCCCTGGATCCGCCCACTGGGGGAAGATATAATTTGATTTAGTTAATTGAATTCATGAAACTTTACAGTAAAAAGCAATTCTGAGCTGGCTTTGTAGCCTAATAAAAATGAGGAAATTTTGAGGGGCATTTAATTTACCCTAAATTTTCGTGGGACGATACGGGAGACTTAGTTCCCAAAGGATCAGCGCCACAAACGGGAGCGGGAAAAAAAATTGAGCGAACCTTTCCCTTTAACAGTTATATTTTGAATGATAGAGATTTGAAAACTTTTTAAAGAAATTTATCTATTTACATTTCTTTCGATCCGCGCGCGTTATTTTTGGCTGTTGAAATATGAATGGAACTGCAACATACATGCTGAGAGTGAGGGTAATAATTTGCTCCGTATTCGACTACTGTACTAGTATACTGTGCATGCGAATTCGAGCCCCACCCGATCGCGATATGTGCACCGTACCGGTTGTGTTCTCTAGCGTTGGCATTCGCTTTGGAATTACTCTGCCTGGTTAGATGTGGTGTTTATTTCTATAACGTCACTGGTAAGTATTATAATAAAATATACATTTTTATTCCAAAAAAACAAGATTTAAGAGTGATTGGCAAGCTAGGGTTTAAATGCGTGGGTGATGCTGATGCCAGCTCCAGATCTAACGACGCTGAGGTGATGTGAGGCGAGGGCTAGGGAGCTGCTCGGCTGTCCAACGGCCATCCGATCCGAACGCATTGGCCCGAATTCACAAAGCAAGGTTTGAGCTCAGACCAAGGTTTGTGCTCAAACCTCCTTTTGTTTCGCCAAACCTCCCTTTGTTATTTACAAACCAGGTTTGTAAATAACAAAAGGAGGTTTGGCGAAACAAAAGGAGGTTTGAGGTCAAACCTTGGTCTGAGCTCAAACCTTGCTTTGTGAATTCGGGCCATTGTGTGTGATGGGGAACCATCAGTCCGGTCCAGTATAGTCTACGCATTTGTTTTCAAAGGTTAAAAAGTAACCTTTGAAATTCTTTTAATTTCATTAGTTCGACTGAGTTCTATATATTCTAGAGTTACATTCTTGTGAGAATCATGTCTGGACAATCTCAGCAAATGCTGTGAATTATCTAAAGTTTATTTTGATTTTTGAGTTGACATCGATGCCATGTCTGTGACAGCTATAGTTAGACTAGACCGAATTTTCCGTCTCTTTCGTTCGTTAGCCTCTTATTGGGGTAGGGTCGGCTCTCTCTTTAGAGACGGAAGCCGTTTATACACATGTCCTTGCTAACGCCACGGCCAGTCCTGGTCGTAGCGTTTTGCCCCCAAAATCCCCAAAATGTCATTTTACCTCGAGCATGTTATATTGTATTTGTAAATTAGGCCTAGCCTATAATAAATCAGTTCCACTTACCAACTTGACTGAAATAATCAGTTTAATCGTCCCTTTTTAGGAAATTATGGGTCAAAATCGGAATCCATGTTGAAAAAGATTTTCAAAATGGATTTCGATTTTGACCCATAATTTCCTAAAAAGGGACTATTAAACTGATAATTTCAGTCAAGTTGGTAAGTGGAACTGATTTATTATAGCCTAGGCCTAATTTACAATATAACATGCTCGAGGTAAAATGACATTTTGGGGGATTTTGGGGGCAAAACGCTACGACCAGGACTGGCCGTGGCGTTAGCAAGGACATGTGTATAAACGGCTTCCGTCTCTAAAGAGAGAGCCGGCCGACCCTACCCCAATAAGAGGCTAACGAACGAAAGAGACGGAAAATTCGGTCTATAGTTAGACCTGTGGCATATGCATGTGACAGTGTACATGGCCTGTGAGGCTGTGTAAATCTATGTTAGTATGTAGGCCTAGCTACATGTAGTACTACTACTAGTACCAGACACTACTATACAAATATACAATGACACTCAAGGGTCTAGCTAAAACTATTCGATCAAAGGAACATCGAATAGTACAGTATGATGTTCCTCAACTTGCGAAAAGTTTTAGCTTGTTCCGAGAATGAGTCATTGTAGATCTTGTCTAGCAAGTCTATATTTCATTTAAATATCCCTTCCACCTGTATGTATCATTCCTTGCAAACCTGATTCCTTGAACACTTCTGTAATAACATGTACTGTACTTTCATTCACATCACATTCAAAAAAGAAAATTGCACTGCTCAAATGAAACATTGAAGGATGTGTATGTAAATGTTTAGCTGGCGCTAGGTACTGCAGAAGTGTAGTACGTACAGTTACTGCAGCTCAGTATAAATTGCACGGCGTGAATGCCGTGACACTGTTGGAGTTGCCCACTGGAGACATTTGAAATCCTGTATGCTCGCTGAATTTTGCCAGTTTGGGGGGGGGGGGGCGGGAAAAGGAATAGTTCACGTTTTCCCTAGATCTAGGGAATGTCAAGGAAAATATTTTGCAATCTTTAGCCAGAAAAATCAGTCTGTTTCGTTCAGGAATATGTTCCACCGAGACCACCTCTGGCTTCACAGAAGCACTCTCCTATATGTCTTGGAGGAGAGAGCTCTGGTCAGGAGACAATATTTGATAAACTACATGTTGTAAGCAGATGGATTTTTTGGTCAAGCGATCTTTAGCCTTCATGTACATTATAAACATTTATAAAATGGGTTCAAGAATGTAGCCAATGAGAATAGGCAAAATGGATCATGTGACCGTGCATTAATTTTTACTACACTATATATGCACGGTACCATCTGCATAGGGTGCATTTTGGTGATAACAACGGTAGATAAAGGTTGCGGGGAGACATCTTACAGCCTTGCTAAGTAAGAATGTCAACCCATTTTATAAAACAAATAATACACAGGTTTTCGTTCGCAACGTTACGGTGATGCAGCGCTATTCGGGTATTCACAATGGTACCATAGCGAACACCCTCATGTGCTGCATCGACCATAACGCACTCTCATCTGTGTATTATTTGTATAATACCGGTAATTATAATATAGTCTAGAGTTCAATGTACTGTACAGTACTTATATCTGGTTATTAATACCGTAACTAGTCTAATCTCAGGTAATCAGTGTGCTATGACCAATTTACACATTTGAGGTTCACAAAGGGGTCTAGATTTTAGTGATCTCAATTGTTGAATGTATCAAAAAAGTATTTGTCTGAGTTTGTTAATCTTTTCAGTTACCTAATTTTTCAAGTAAATTTTGTGGTTTCAGTTTCATCTAATTCAGTTTGTTTGAAAGATTGCCATTCCTTTTGTATAATTAATGGAAGACCAGAAGCAAGCACTTTAAAAAAAATATTATTCCAGTTCAGGCACAATATTTCATATTTTATATTTCAATCGCCTTTATATTTGTATACATTGTACATGTATATTGTAAACATAATGTAGTGATTATGTTTGACTCGATAAAACATATAACAAAATATTAAGAAATAAACAAATTATTTGTTCTGACTTTGAAGTATTGAAAGAATTATAACTGAAGTCTGAAACAAACTTTAGTAAGGCATGAGTTTAATCACAGTATAAATTTTGTTCTACCATAATGCACCTGATACATGTAGGAAAAAGTCTCACCATGATTTACTTTTCAATAAATACATGTACAGAAAAGAGACAGATAAAAAGAAAGGATGAGGAAAAGCAGACTACAACTTGTTCAGGAGATTAGATTTATCGGTTGAATTGGCAACTTGCACATGAGTCTGTGATATCATTTCCTCCCTATTCATCTGTACATGTACTACATGTACATGTGTTACCTCTGATACATTCTTTTTTTGTAATCTTTAACAAAAATCACAAGCACAATCACCCACACACACATGTTAAGAAAAAACACCTGAGTTTCTCTAGAATGCCTCTATCCAATTCATTGATAATATTTGAAATGATCTTTTTTGTTTGTGTGTGTACACTATTATTAATAGTATTAAAGTCATTAAAAAGGGAAGTTTTTTTTCTTCAAAATTATACACGATGTAGGATTTTTGAAAATAAAATTCATGATTTGGTTTTCATGAATTTTTATTGATTGCTTGTTTGTGCAAATATGCACTGAAGTACATGTACATGTAGACGACACTTGTCTCAGTGTAGACCTCATTGAGACAGTATGTGTATTATGTGTAAATGTTATTATGAACCGATTGGAATTTGGACACGACAGTCCGAGGCAAAATTGTACATTTAATTTTCTGTCCCTGTCACTCCAGTGTTGTTGTTTTTAGTTCAGAAGACTGAAGTTAATCAAGTTATTTTATTCACCAAATAAATTTAAAACAATTATGAAAAGAGTTGTTCATATTGCACATGCCTACATGTATTACATGTACATACCTATGCACCTATGAGAGAAAGCCCCAGTTTACATGGAGAAAGAATAATTTCAAAAAGGAATCTGTCTGTAAAAAAAATAGCATCTACAAAGACTACAATGTATAGTTCTACATTCATGTATTCTAGCGCATTATTATGCAGAAACTCACCGGGAAAGTGTACAACAGACACTTTATGTACTTTACAAAGGGGCAGGAATTCCTACACAAAAATAGGCGTCTCATGAGTAAGCCTGGGAATGCGATTGTTTGCTAGTGTTGGGGCATGAACTGCGCAGGCTGTAGGCTGACAGTCTCCTCAGGGAGTCTTGTGCAAAGTTCACTGCATTGATCTGTAGTGCTCAGAGGAGTACAGAGAGATACCTCCAGAATTCACAAAGTTCAGGTTCAGTCTTGCGATCAATAGTGCTTGACACATGTACAGTTGTTGTGTGTTTCCACTGCTGAGACTGCTTTCCATGTATTGTAGGTGACATGTACTGTACAATGTACACGTACATGTGTATTATAAATGTTTCTGGTGTTCCAATTTGTTTAGATTGGCAAATTGTAGAGAAAAGTCACTTTTTCTTTAACCTACCGTATTTACCGGCGCAAAGGCCACAGTATTTTTGGAAGAGAAAATATCAAAAGTCGGGGGGCGGCCTATGCGGCGAAAGAGTAAAAAAAAAAAAAAAGGTAAATCAAAACCAGCACGAATTTGCACATATGGCACTACTAACGGTACAATAACTATACCACTATGGTACAGGACATTTCCACACATCTTACCGACAATTTTATCTTGCATTGTTGACATGAAGACGAAAATAAACTTCCAAAAACAACATCTGCCGATAGATCTTGATCTAAGTTCGTGCCAATGCATTGCAAAATTAAAAGAAGGGCCCGTTTAACGGAGCTGCCGCGAAGCATCCAGCACGCGAAGTCGCTATTTTGAATCCATTTCAGTACACAAGAGAGAGGCGCAATGTATACATCACAGAAAACTGCTTAGGCTAGCATCAGTGCGGGATGGCCGAGCGGTCTAAGGTGGTGATTTTAGTCACATCACCTTTTGTACGCAACAGATCAAATCCGTCTTCGACAAAAGTTTTTTTTTTTTTTTTTTTTTTTTTTTTTTTTTAAATGTCAAAATCAGGGGTGCGGCCTATATGGCGCTGCTGCCTTATCACCGGCAAATACGGTACATGTACGTGTACATCACTAGTGTGCAACATTGTGCATT